GCGGATGCGAGCACCCTCAATCAAACCCAGCCTTTAACTACTACTAGTATCGTAAGGACCCCTAGTGTGACCACACTCAGATCCATCAAGTCACTCTGACCAACTAAAACCAAAAGGCGGCTCAACTACGTAGGACCTCCAGCAATGGTTCTCCCCATGCTCCCAACAACCCTCAAGTTGTGTAAAGCTTTCACCTGCCACTTGGATATCATACCAGCCTCTTCACTTAGACTTTATATGCGAGCCATAGTCGTCCGCAAAGTAGGGACGACCAAAACTCCAGCCCAGCCCGATCTCCGAAACCACACATACTCGCCGCCGTAAAGCGGCCAGCACTAGGTCGCTCCTTTGTTGTCAGGAGCGACCCACCTTGCGCAGATGCTTGAGTTTGCCTGCTTTGTCGTCTGGAGTGATCGTGGAGGTGTGCTGCTTGCGTGATGCGGAGAGATTGCACCAAGAAAAGCTGTATTTGACATTTGGTTGATCGGCACACTGATCAACCCCTGCAGCAGTTTCATAACTAGGATAGTCAAACATTTCAAGATATCGGGCAGGGGGTAATCCAAAACTATTATTGCTGTTCATTGGCAGTGTGTCAGGTGCTGTAGCCAAGACATGTCAAGACTAGTTTAAACTTACAACTCCCCCTGTTTTATGTTGCATTTGGATGCAACTGATTTGCAGCGCCGATCGTATTGTTGGAGGGATTTGCAGCAAGAAAGCAACACAAATGAATAACAAAAACCGACGTATGTGCATCTTGCACGGCGTCGCTAGCTGTTTTTGGGCAGTCCATTGCCAATTTAGACAGGTTGTCGATGCAAAGTCAGATGAACCGTTGATTCATCAAGCTCCAACTTCTGTGGGTCGATTGGCCACTGAAAAGGCCAACGCGAAGTGTTCACCAGTTGTAGTAAGAATGCTCCGTTCATAGCGATGCCAGGAGCCCCTAGTAGCGTCCTTGCTCCTTGTAGTAAGGCCAGGAGCCCCTGGTCGCTTCTTTGTTCCTAGTAGCGTCCTGTGTTCCATCATGTTGTTGAGTTTGTTTTGTTCTGTTTCAAAGGGCACGCTTGGGAAGGAATGAAATGGAACTTGTGTTCCTATCCGGATTCCTATCCCTTTGCAGCCACGCTCCTGGGGTTCATTTTGAGCCCCAACAGTGGAGACCCGATGTACGTGAAGGCAACGATTGAAGAAGACGCCGCGGTGGCTTACGTGGAGGCTTTGAATCAGGCGGCGGCGCCCGGGATGGTTTGGATGTGTCAGAGTTTTCACTTGCTAGGGCATGTAGACATGCAGCTTTTGCGTGAATGGACAATGGACAATTTTGAGGTCAATGGACCTGTGATAGGTCATGGATGTCATAGATATTCAATGCTCAATGCATTGATCAATAGTGTTATATTAATATTGTATATATATATATATATTTCCCATGCGGATTCAATTAACAGGTCGACTTCCCATCACAGTGGGTGGCTCAAACCAGTGGGTGTCTCGTTTTTTTCGCTGAGAAGACGAGGTTGCCCGGTGATTCAGTGATGGTTCGTAAAAGCAGAACTTGGGGAAGGTTGGACCAACGATGGCCGAGCAGAATGGTCAAATTACGAGAGGATTTCGCATGGAGAGTCTTTTTGCTTTAGTTATGATTATATAATTGTTTTAAATTTAGTTTAGACATGTTTAGTAGCGATGGCCTCCAACTTACTAGCAATGGCCTCCGACCTAGTAGCGATGACCTCCGACCTACTAGCGACGACCTCCAACCTACTAGCCATGGCCTCCTCTAGCGATGCTCTCCAACCTAGCAATGTTTAGAGATGTTTAGACCTTGCTTAGACAAGAAGCTGCTAGGAACAAGTGCATCGCTACTAGTAACAAGTGCCTTACTAGTAGTA